GGGGGGATGTCCTCATGGTTCCCCTTCCCAAAGGACCTGCCATGCATCTGCACAGCAGTGTGGTTGAGTGGGACTCCTGTGCCTGGCATGGGGCAGGAGGGACATGGGGACCTGGCTGAGCTCCCGTAAGAGCCTCAACAATCCTGGCTGGGAGAAGCGCCTCCTCCAGAGCTGTGCTTTGGGTTTCTCCTTTGTCAGGGGTCTTAAATCATTGCCTTGGAAAGGAGCATTGCTTTCAAAGACCTGTCTTCCAGGAATGGCTCCCTCAGCCCTTCTGGATGAGTGCCAACATGTTTGCACTGTGTTTGAGGACATATAGGAAATAATTCAAGGTGCCTTTTCCCCCTTCCCAGCTTAGTCCTGCTGCTACCAGCTACAGACAAGCTCTCAGCCACAGTCCTGAGAAGCAGAGCTGGGCACTCCACAGCTTTCCTTCACTCTCAAACCTTCCCTGGGGCTAAACAGGAGGCAGACAAGAGCCAGGCAAGGCAGGCAAATATGTGGGTCCATTGCTGCACTGGAGCCTTTCTCCACACAAGGCTGGTGGGTGGTGCGGTGTCTCCAATATCCCTGCTGAGTAGATCCCCAAAGTGTAAGGCCAGGAGAGTCAGTGGTCTTTTGTGAGCCAGCAGGAAAGGAGAAGAGAAAATGTCTTTATCTTATGTAATAGAAGAAATTAGAGGAGAATTTGAATAAGGTACTGGGACTCCTTTGCTCTGTTATCTGTATCTATCCATCCACCCATCTGCCTAGTCATCCATCCATCCATCCATCCATCCATCCATCCATCCATCCATCCATATCCATCCATCCATCCATCCATCCATCCATCCATCCACCTGCATAGTCATCCATTCTTTCATCTTCATGTATTCCCTCCATCCTGTCTGTGCCCCTCCAGCAGGCTGTCCTGCTGTCTGCAATCACACGCATTCATTCATCCATCCACCCATCCATCTTCTTCCACACTTCTGTCTATCTTCCTGTTTATGTGGGCCTGTTCCAGCTGCCCCTCCTCACACAGCTGCCTCAGCTTACATGATCTCCCCTCTTTCTGCTCTAAGCTTTTTTAAGATACTTGGAACATACTTCTCTGATCAGCAGTTTCTTAAAGGTCCTCACCCTTGGCTAGTGTCTGAGATGATCCTAAGGCATCTCACCAGTATCTTACTCATTACAACCCAATTTTTTCCCATCTGTTCTTCACACCCCTTTCCCAGCTGGGATAACGTCCACAAAGGTGCTGTTTTCCTGTCAGAAGTAGGTGTCCTGACAGACCATCTGCAGGGAGAACTCAGACCTGCCAGGTACTCCGCCAGGGACTATTCCAGGGCCAGTCTCACCCTGGGGCTCTGTCCTTTGCAGATGGGCTCAGGCTTCCACACGTGCCCATGGATCCAGTGGCTGGATCATGCCATGTGGTCCCACCTATCAACAGGACTCAGGAGCTGATGTCTAAACAGAGAGAAAAGAGCAGGAGAAGCATGGGGGATGCTTCTCCAATCCCTCCCTACCATCAGCTGCCTGTAGCCTCACCAGACAGCTCAGTGTTTTACTGCCCTGGGTGGTGTCTTCTGCTATGGATTCATTTAATCACAATTTTCCCCAAAATATTGGCATCCAAAGCATCTGATGGACATGGGTTTCTGTAATTCAATCACACTTCGTGCAAAAAAGCACTTTCTTTTGCTCTTTTCTTTTTTTTCTTTCATTTGCTACCCCTTATTTTATTAGGAGAAAGAGCAAGCGGTCTTTTTCTGTTTGTCCTTTCCATGTCACTCATCATTGCTTAGGTGTCTATCACGTCTCCACTCAGTTGTGTCCTTTTACGGATGAAGGGATCAAGTCTGCTAAGCCATCCCTAGGCAGGGACTATTACCAGCCTTTGCTATTCCCGTTTCCTTTCTCTGCTCTGTTTTCAGATGAACTGTACTTGTAATGGCGTGGGGACAGATTTGTGTGCAGCTTTTAGGGTACAGCAATTTCTATTTTGTTCTCAATCCCTTTCTGAACAATTCCTGGAGTTGGGTTTGTGGTTTTGGTCACCACTGAGCTGATGTTTTCAGGGATGTGAGTCTGATGGCTCCAAGATACGTTTCTATGGAGGCTGCAGCTTATTTGGATCCATGAGTGCGTAGGGGAAACAAGGCTTCTCTTTCCCTGTGTGCATCCCTGTGCATTTATTGTCACAGTGTTAGTGTCTAGTGGGTCTGTACTGTGATGTTCTTCTGTAACACTTTCGCACCCAGCTGTAATTTGGCTACTCTCACAGCCTCAGCAGCACACTGTCTCTCACTGCCTCAACTCCATTTTCCCCATGAGTTATGATGGTGTTGGGCAGCTCTGATCCAGCTCTGATGTCTGCTGAACTTCACTGGTGAAGTCTCCTACTGCCATGTATGACCACTCGTTCTCACCTTTGGTCTGCTGACCTTCAGCTGCTATAAATCCTTGCAAGAACTTTCCTCATGTGTCAGGGCTGCTTGATTTCCTTGGGAGGTACCTTGTCAAACATGTTTTTGAAACCCAGGAGTATTTTGAGAAGTGAATCACCCTTGTCTGTGTACAAGGCTTGGTGAAGCCTTGAAGGAACCTCATTCCCTGCTCATTCACCTATCCTGCTACACCCCATGTCATGAACACACACAAAGTATGCGGTTTTATCCTTGCCACACACAGCTCAGCGCAGCCAGTGTAGCTACACGGGAAAGATTCAATTGCTAAGGATCATTAATGAATGTCAGCTCGAGCTCCTGTCCAGAAACCTGAGAAAATTCAATTAGGCAGCTGGTGCCCAATGAGCTGTATTGCCCCACTCACAAGATGCTAAATCAAGCAGCTCAGCAAGGCATCATGTTATTGTAGAGAGAGAAGAAATGCCAGGCAGGGAGACAAACAGCATAGCATGCAGCAAGCAGCTGCCCTTTTCCAAAGCCCAGCACGGGTAGGTTGCAATCCTCCCACCTGGTTTCCTGGGCAGAGAATTGCAAGGGCAGCTGCCCGCATCCCACCTTCACTAGTAAATAACTCTGGTTTAGTGGTAACAAGTCCTGGGGCTCTGTCACCCCTCTGCTGGGAGTTTCTGATGCATTCATTTGCTTTTCAGCCTGTAACAAGTCATGTAGATACAGGAGTGGCAGTGACTTGCTGGTGTGAGCATCTGGCCATGCTGTGGGGCATTTGGCTGATGAGCCATACATGCAGCCCTGAGATGTCTCCTCCAAGGTTAAAGTCAGAGAAAAGCATCCTTTGAGATGGAGGTGGTCCATAAGTCCTGATCCTGTGGTCTTTGCCAGCTGATCTACTCTAGTCTAAGGTTAAAATAAATAATTATCAGGGCTAGTAGGAGAACTTGCCATCAATACAAAGTCAGTTTGTGCCCTAGTCCTTCTCTTGCTTCCTGGATATGATGGTAAGATCCATTTCCAAGGCACCCATGCCCGTGGGTCTCTGAGCTCACCTGTTTTTCTCATCTTCCTCCCCACAGACAGCCACATCCAGTATGAGCGGGTAGGCGCAGATGTGACCATGAAGTGTGGCTCCATGGACTGGGACGCAGCGGTGACCTGGACAGCTAATGGCACTGACATTGATGCATCCCACCTGAATGGGTCCTACCTGATCCTGAAGAAAGTTGACCTGACGCAGAGCGGCCAATACTCCTGCTACGAGGGCTCCTCCTGGCACCTCAAATACCAGACCTACCTGAGGGTGGGAAGTGAGTACCCCAGCATGGGATTTTGAGGGGAGCAGAGCCACACTCTCTGCTCCCATATTGACCCCTCACAGCCCACTCCTGCCATGCCAACCCCTGTGCTTTCCATGCATATGGGAGCCTACTTCACCCCACCATATGAGCTCCCTGTGGCATACTAATCCAAGAAGCAGGATGCTGAAATCATCATCCTGTCCCACACTTAGCATCAAAGCCAGTAGATTAAATGATACCTCAGGAATAATTTGGGAAGGGATGATGCTTCTCCATCTAGCTCAGTGCCATGGCCACCATCTCCACAGGTGGAAAGAGTTGGGGCTGAGCTGTCAGAGAGGATTACAGCCAGGGAGAAGTTGTCCTGGCCGGGGTTATGGCAACATAGTTGTTTCAGACGACCAACGAAAAGGTGGTGGCAGTTGCTGTGTGTTTGCAGGAGCCTCTGTGCACATTGGAGGCAGCTGCACATTTCCCACCATTTTGCATATCTTAAGCACGAGATGCGCTGATTCACAGGTCTCAGCACGGGAAATAAGAGTTGTGCTATATTTCACATGATGCTGAGAGCTGATAGCAGCTGTGTGTTTGGTGGGCTGCTGTGTTTGTACAGCTGATAGCAACTGTGTGTTTCACAGTACGGCATCTGCAACCGGCAGTGGTGGGTGTCTGGGAGCACCAGCCGGCATAGCTGGCTGTGGAATGGTGACTGCTGCGGAGGATGCTGCGAGACACCAGCTGGAAGCCCCACCAGCTGGGGATGCGTTGTGTAGGTAGCCATATGTTCCCAGGTTTGGAGGACACAGCAGCGCCTTTCTCTGCTCCTTGTCTCACCTTCTTCACCTTCCATCATAGCTAGGGTGGCATTTCCATCCTAGATGGTGGTCCAGGGACAGAGGGTCACAGCAGGACCAGACATGGCCACCATAAGCGCTGCAAATCAGGCAGGAGGGTCTCACTGCACCTGTAGGTCAGACTGAAGAAATCCAAGTCTCAGGGATGCTGCATGTTGTCCAATTCATGGTTTGGGATCTGCTGAGAGGGATCCTGTCACATGGGCCAAGGGGAAGGGTGCTGGGAGAAGCTGAAAAGCAATATGAGAAGCAGGCAATCAGGGAACAGCCAGCGTAAGGCAGGAGGTACAGCAGCAAGTGGGTATTGAGGCAGGAAGCATGGCAGACAAAAAGGCAATGGCAGATGAGTTGGGCCTCTCAACTGCGCTGTCAGGGTCAGGAGGTGTTCATGGGTAGTTCAGAGGCAGGGAAGGCAGGACCTGGAGTGCAGCTCCTCTGCTTGGGCACATGCTAGCCAGATTCCATCTGGGGAGGGGTCCCAGACCATGCCAATGCACAGGGGACTGCAGCCGAGGTCTGGAGGAAACAAGGGGACCAGGGAGGGGGCTGCAGTCTCGAGCCTCCTCTTCTGCAGCTGTGGCATCGCTGTGACTTTGCAATGGCTCTTCCATCTGCTAAGCACCTCGCTAATAGTAATCCCTGTCAATCTGCTCAGGGACCCGTGGGAATTGCTCAGTGTTAGAGCCCAAAACCTGCTGTTTCCTATTACTGTGTGTTCCCATTTTCTGGAGACTCACAGCCCCCCTAAGTACCAGGCAGCTGAGGAGCCCAGTTGGACACTGCAGAGGCCACCAGACCTGGGAGAGAGAGTGACAAATAAATAAGCGAATGCCCAGTGTTAACACAATTAAGTATGCAAGGAACTAATCAGGTGAGACACTTTTAGTGGTAATTAATTTAATTGCTTGGATTTTAATTTAATGTTCTCTGCAAGGTTTCTTTTCCCAGCACTGCCACCCCCAGCCCCTGCCTGCATCCCCCACAACTTTTCTGCCTCTACAGGATTGATTCCCTGGAGGTGTGTGGGCTGCTACAGAGGAACTGGTTTGAGAGCATCCCAGGAAGGGATGGAGATGGGGATGGAGGTGGAGACTGGCATGGTGATGGAGGTGGAGATGGATGGCTCACAGAAGTTTTGCAGCATAGCCCTGTGGTAGCATCCCTGCTGCAGATGAGTGCACCAGGAGCCCAAACCTGGGATTTGAAGGATCTTGGACTCGTTTCGTTTCAATTGCACAGGAAGTTAAATGAAAACAGGCCTGCGCCTGCATTTTCCCCTCTTACTGGGGCAACAAGAAAGATGACAGCAGTACGAATGAGGGGCTGGGGGCCACATGCGGAGAAGTGCTGGGGATCTCATTAAATAAATGATGGTACCTGGAGTGTACCCCTGAAGTGATGTAGGGATGCTCCTGGGCAGAGAATGCTGCAGGAAGGATGTGGGGAAGGAGTGGAGAAGGGCTGGGAGGACTGGGAAGGGGTGTCAGTTAGCAAAGTGAGCTCCATCATGGGGGTCAGTGAGCACAGGGATAAAGGGAGACCTGCCAGGAGTCAAGCTGAGTGAGCCCTTGCAGAGGAAATGAAAAGGGCGGTTAGCCATATAAATACGGAGCAAACGAGGAGAGAAGAGCGGAGCTGGCTCTGCAGCCAGGTTTCAGGGGAGATTAAAGGTAAGCTCAGAAGAGCCCAATACCAAATGAACGCCGCTGGGTCTGAGTGGTGATACTGAGAGCAAGGGCAGTACAAGCTGGGGGAGAGGATGAGGGATAAAATCTGGAGACAATCCTCTGCCGTGGAGGCACCGTCAAAGCAAATCACTCATTGAAGGCTTGGGGAGAACCTCATCCCCAGGTGAGGACATGTCCTGTTCATCAGCAAGGCTCATTAGCAGCTGAGAGGGCAGTGGCGTTACCCAGTGCTGTGGGGAGAGGCAACGTGTCTCCTGTGCTTGAGAGAAGGAAAAATCCTGATCAGACAGCCTGACCCCACAGCACAGCGGGGCCACGGGGCACGCTTGGAAGAGGGAGCAATTAAAGACATGGAGAGAAATGGAAAATGGGAGAAAAATACAAGGGGGACTTGCCAGGGATATATCACACCAGATTAATGTGATAGCTCTCTTTGATAAGGAAACTGATTTCCTAAGCCCAGAAATGTGGTCGATGTAATCTGTCTTGACTTCAGTGAAGTATTTGCTATGATGCCACATGGGAAATTATGAGTTAAACCAGAGAAAATGTGGATTAGTATGAGAGTTGGAACACAGTATAGGAAATGGCTAAAGGGGATCAGATTGTGCTGAAAGGGGAGCTGCTGGAAGGGATGGGGGAGCTTCGGCATCAGCCTTTGGACCATTCTCAGTTGTGTTTCCAGTAATGGCTCTGGCCCACAAGGACCAGGGAGCTCCAGTGAGATGCGCCAGTGGCTGTGAGGGGACCTGGGGATTTCTGGGGTGGGGATTTCATGCTGGTGGGGCCAGGATGCTATGTAATGGTGCAAAAGGCACAAAGCGCATGAAGGTGTCTCATCTATGTGCTTCAGGACATGTGTAGCTTCAACTGGGCTTTGGGGTGTGGTTTGACACCAGGGTCCACATCATGGGGAACGTGGCTTGAAGCTAGCAGCACCCCACAGAGGCTGGGGATAGCCAGGCTGTCTCATCCCCTGCAAAGACGGGGACATCAGTGCACTTGTAGTGGTGACAGTGTGCATCCAGGGATAGGGTGACATACCGATAGAAAGCCCACCTCAGAGAAGAGGAAGGGCCTACAGGCTTGCTTATCTGTAATGGTCCCAGATCACCCATCTCCAGTGTGAGAATCATCCCGAGCACAAACAGGGCCAGAGGAAGGCAGCACTTATGCAGGGCAACCTGTTCCAGGAGACTTTGAGCAGCGATGTGTTGCTCTGCCTCCTTTTTTCAGGCAGCTGAACATATGGTGAAGCACAGGAGAGCGACCAGGATACTCTGTGTTTACCTCCAGTGGATCCTCTTCCCTGCAGGCAGGCAGATGCCCAAGTGTGGCCAGAAGCAGCAGGCAATGAGGCCAGGGCTTTTTGCATGCCTGGCATCCCTGACCTGAGCCCAGGGCTGAGCACCAGGAACAGGCAGGAGAGAGGGGAAGACTCCCGGTACTGGGAGCGCGGCACCAGGCTCCCGGCTGCCCCCTCAAGCAACAGCTCTGCATTTGGAAACACACGGCCGGAGGGCCCAGGGATGGATATAACAAAGACGTTGGGAAATAATGCGCTCTTGAGGTTTGGCACACGGCTCCGTGCATTACAGAATGTTATAAAAATACTGCTAATGGGCCAGAGAGGAGTGGAAACGCGCGGCGGAAAGGCTGCCAGAAGCCGGAGAGCGCACATGGGAGCGGGGAGGCCTTGTGTGCAAAGAGGGAAGGGAGGGAGGCAGCCAGGGCGGGTGTCCATCCTTCTACTCCCATCCCTCTGTCTCATTCTAACCTGCCTATCTCCATCCTGACCTCACAGCTCTGCCCATTTGCACCTCTCCTTTCACCCCTCTGCCCAGTTTTGGGGATGCCCAAGTGCTGCTGGCCATGCTGCTGACCTCTGCTGCTCTGCCCACTGCCTAAGGAGGCTGCTGCCTGGTGGACTGGGGTACAGGCAGGGATGGGGTCTGAATGGGAGAGAAAATATAGCAAAACCTCCTCCAGCAGCAGGGACACAGGTCATGGTGGAGGCAGTGGGGTTGTCCTCTGTATTGCAGTGGTGACACAGTGGGTTGTTAGCCTGGTGCCAGCTGCAGCCCTGCCCCATGGTCATCAGGCGATGGTGGGAATGGGACTGGCAGAGGGCAAGCAGCTCTGGGCTGGCCTCCTTCCTCCATGTCTGTCACTGCAGTGGCTGGCGAGAGAAAGGGGAAAAAACATGCGGTTTGACGGAAAACTACATGGAAAAACAACCAAATTAACAGAAAAACAAACAAAGCAAAACCGGAGAGAGGGAGGGGGAAAGGGGCAAAGCAACAGGAACCACATGTGAGCGGGGAGGCCAGGAGAGCCCGAGTGTGTTCTCTGGCCTGATTAGCAAGCGATCAAACATTGGCCACTAATAAATAATCAGAACCTCCCTCTTCTCTGCCTTAGAAGTCCCTCTCCTCCCAGCTGGGCTCCAGCTGCAACCGGAGGGTTG